GTGCTGTAATGAGTGTTTGTTCAGTGATATGGAATAGAATGCAATGGAATGAAATGAAATGTCAGATCCTTTGGCAGAATTACACCTAAATCGTCTCTGTTACATGAACATCTAGATCATTTTAAAGGTCACCAGATGAGGATATTTCACAATCTTTGCAACCCAAACGTTTGCCTTTAAGTAACCTTCAAGGGAAGCATAGGTGACTGAGTTTTTAAGAGGTTACTTAGTTTGAATTCATCAGTGTTTCACATACAACCTTCACTGAAATCAGAATATAGAGTATATATTTATACCTGCAAATCCTAATGATTTGTAAAGTCTTTGTTGATGATGTCACCAAGATAATGCATCTATGACAAAAGTCTAAATCTCTCAAAAGAATAGAAAACAGAGCTAGTAAACTGAGCTTTAAACTTTATTCCAGTCTCACTGCCAGTAGACAAAATATTTCGCTGTTAAATATTTTCCTTTTCATAAAAGTGCCTTCCAAAATGGCAAGCTTCTTTACTATTAATGAAAGCTCAAGGCTTTTACTTCTCAATAGCATCATGCCACTCCTTTGAGGGAAATTATTTCATTCTTTATCAACATCACTAATAAAGTCTATCCCTGAAGACAAAAATGTCCAGCTAGAATTATATGTAACATGTTTTTTCAGAGGGGAATGAGAGGTTCAATTTGTTAACTCCCCAGAGAGAATCACTCTTGGGTGCCTCAGATCTAAAGCAAATCTCTAAATTATCTACTCAAAGCAGTGTCTATGAAGAATGAATGGGTTCTCCCAAATGTTGCAGCCAATGAACTTTTCTGTTACCCTGAGTGAAGAGTTTGGCTACATTTAATAGTAACTGCAATATAGGATCAATTGCTTCTCCTTACCTAATTGCCAGATTCTGTAAAAGTGACTTATCTTCCTGGCATTTCACATTGTTTAAATTTCTAGCCTGCTTCATAATAAAATGCTGTTGAAATGAAGATAGCAAAGGATCCTGTCACAGAATATACAGAAGCATATCTATAATATGCACAGTGTACTTGCAAGATTTGCAAACATTTTAATCTAGCCCTCCAGTTGAGAGAGAAAGCAGGCGACCTCTGATCTGAACAGAATTTAAATCAATTCCTAGCAATAAAATCCATATCTTATCTTTAATTTTGTCATCCACAATCATCTTTAAGAAAAAATAAATGCAATAGTGCAAGGATTTAATGTCCATCTATACAAAGTTACAAATAAATAGCTGAAGTATTATATTAGGTTAGAAGTTTCACAGTGCAGCAGATGGGAGTTTCTTTAGTGGGTACTCTTAGGTTACTGATGTATTTTGTTGTCAGAAGAAGAAATTTTCTTATTTTCAATGATTTACAATTATTGGGAAGAAAAGCTGCAAAGCGATTCAAACTTAGTTTGAACTCAGTTACACAAAGGAGGAATATTTATTTTCTTTTATTTTATGAAGTGTGGAAAACTAACAAAATAGTTCCTTTTAGGCTATATATAGTCTTAAAAGACAATATACTGCACATGTTTCATGTCTAAATAGACTTGACTCTTTGCTAAATTGTTTGATTAGTTAAGTCATTTTCTTCTCACTAAAACTGTTTCCAAGTAACAAAAGAGCATTATAAATTTTCAGGACTTGAGTATATTTTTCTTAATTTTATATATATGAAAAAAATCTTTGCTGCAGTGTGCTCAAATAGTTAAAAGTAGGAGTTGGCCTTCCTCTCTGAGCCAGCAAACCAATGCCTTCTGGCCTCTTTATGCCCTTCAAATAAATAAAAAATTCCTGGATGTAAAATGTGATATAATCAACTTGCATATAATCTTGTTGCTTTCTTTAGTTTCTAATTTTTTCTTCAAGGCAATTTCATACTCATTAGAAATGGCATACTTTCAAGTAATGAACAATCTATTTACATTTTATGACAATATTAGTCAAACATTTTCCATTTCATTCACATTATATCTTTCAGAAAAAAGTAAAAAACATTTCAGGCACCTGTCAGAATATTAAGATCTTGGATGGTTTCTCTCCCCTTAATGAAGAGTCTGTTCAGCATTCCAAGCTAAGAATTTCCTTCATAGCTGCCCTAAGTTATCCATACTTGCAGCTATGCTAACATTCTCCTTCCACTGCTCTTTTGGAGCTCTTCTTCCTGGGTTTCTCTTTACACTCCAGGCGTCCAGCACCAGTGTCCTGCTTTTTGATGTTCAGTGACCTAATCTTGGCCTTTCCTAAAATACTTCAAGTTCCAAAAGTGTTGGACACATTAAAACTATGACTGGAAGAAACACTAGAAACAAACTGACTCAACACTTTTATTTCCAAAGTAAAGATAGAGAGAATCTGAGACATTATGTGATTTTGGAAAATGCCAATTATAGTTAGTGACAGAACTTTAACTCAAACTCTGGCTTCTAGCGGGAGAAGGTTGTCTTGGGTGAGATTCCTACAAAAACACAACCTGAGCAAAATATTTGAAAACAAATTGTTTATTTGGAAGGTGAACTCATAAGGCATTATGAGAGAATGGGGATATGCAGGAAGTAACCTTATGGATATCTGGAGCTCGGTCTTGCTGGGGAATCTCTGAGAGACTATGGAGAACACACTGTAGGGACAAAGATTCTATTGGATTTCTCTATCAACTTTTACTCCTTATTGGCTAAGGGCAGCTCTAGTGGCACTAATTCCATCTAGTTCCTGTCCACCTTCAAACTGACTGAAGTGTTTCTGCACCAGAAATGCCATCAGATAGAGAGAAGCCATAGGTGTACATCAGTCTTGTCCAATCCATGACCCAGGATGGCTTTGAATGTGGCCCAACACAAATTTGTAAACTGTCTGAAAATTCTTTGGCCAGGCTCACGCCTGTAATCCCAGCACTTTGGAAGGCTGAGGCAGGCAGAACATGAGGTCAGGATTTCAAGAACAGCCTGACTAACATGGTGAAACCCAGTCTTTACTAAAAACATAAAAACTACCCAGGCATGGTGGCATGTGTCTGTAATCTCAGCTACTCAGGAGGCTGAGGCAGGAGAATCGCTTGAACTCGGAAGGTAGAGTTTGCAGTGAGCTGAGATTGCACCACTGCAATCCAGTCTGGGTAACAGAGGGAGACTCCCTCTCAAAAAAGAAATTGCAATTATTTCTTTTAGTCCATCAGCTATCATTAGCATTAGTATATTTTAAGTGTGGCCCAAGACAATTCTTCCATTGTGGCCCAGGGAAGTCAACAGGTTGGACACCTCTGAGGTATGCAGACACTCTCTGCATGTAACTTCCAGTGTAGGCCAAGGGCAAGAGAGCAGATATAATGTAAACAAGAGATGTAAATGTTCCACACAGGAAAAGTACAATTAGAGAACTGGCACCGGACCTAACTTATTCATCAGTTATTCAATTAGTATCCAGGTGACAAGTTAACGTATCACAGTCACAACTTCAACATAATTATGATATAGTTGATGTTAATTTTTTTTCCTTATGGTGTAGCAGATGGGGATTGCCATAGTTACAGCTCTTCTTAAATGCTAGATCTTAAACTGCTGTGGCCAAAGTACTCCTTTAGGTCAGTAATAGTAAGGGCTGAATCCATCTGTCATTGAAACCTGAAGGTCATTAAATTAAAAAATAAATAAATAACTCTAGAACTTAGAAATAAATGTGTATTCTATTTTCATTGAAGAAATGTGAAGCTATATCTGACAGAGTATTATAAAGAGAGAGAATTAAGTTAGGCAAAAAGCAGATTTAGGAGGTATGAGGTAAAGGAGCAGATATTCCCTTTCAAAGCCATAAATCCAAGAACTACCAATCATAAGCAGAGTTGCCAGATAAAATAAAGGATACTCAGCAAAATGTGAATTTCAGATAAACAATAATTTGTGACACACTAAGAAAATTATTTGCTGTTTATCCGAAATTTACATTTAGCTAGGGTTCTTTTATTTTGTTTGCTCAGTGTGGCAACCCTAATCCTAGGACAACCAAAGAGGATCTTCTCTGTGTGGGTATCCTCACGAATTGGGCAGGAACCTGTTTCGACAACAAAACTCACAGCTAATTTTAATATTTATAGCATTTAATAAAATGAAGCGTCCTCATAATTTTGGATCAGAAATATTATTGTAGAAGTCTCAATCACAGAAACAAAAAAAATGCTTTCTGGCAGTGACAGAGCATAATTGTAAATGTACAAGTAAACTGAAGAAAAAAGATGGAAAAATTAACATTTAAAAAATGTCATATTTTATAGAAAAGCAATGCTAGAGACCCTCACTTATTATCAAGCTTGGCTGGCTACAAGTTACTATAAATTCAAAGTACATAAAAAATACCTTAGTCTTATTATTTAAATTTGCATTACAAGTAATCTCTATGAAGGTTTTCTTCCAGGAAAGCAAATTTTTAATAAATCACATACCCTGTGTTGTTTTCATTCACAAATATGTTTGATTTCTTTTCCAAATATAAAAATCCAAGTTATGTTATTTTAAAAAAACAACAACAAATGTATGCTATAACAAAAATGCCTGAGACTGGGTAATTTATGAAAAATGTAAATTTATTTTTTCAAAGTGGTAGAGTCTAGAACATCCAAGATCAAGGTGTTAGCATCTGGTGAGGACCTTCTCACAGAGTTTTAACATAGTACATGGTGGAGGGGTAAGAGATAGGAGAATACTGTGTGAAGAGTTTTTTTTTTTTTTTAATAAGGGCCTTGATCCTATTCATGGTGGAACGAGTCCTGATGGATTAATCACCCTTAAATATCCCACTTCTTAATACTATCACCTGAATTTTGGAGGGGATTCATTCAAATCATTGAAACAAAGATTGCAAAAAAAAAATAGGTAAAACTTTTTAAACTATGGCTGAGTTTAAGTTTTAATTATCTCCCATCAACCATGGCATCTGTGTTAATATGTATAGGTAATATACACAGAGTTTGCTTTCTATTGGAAATCATACAACATAAAATATACCTACCTTATGTTGTTGTACTTGGCGTTTTAGGTCTTCAAGATCGGGTCCAAGGGGCTCTTCCTCCATTTTCCTTGTTCTTTCTTCTGTTTTTGTTAGCCAGTCATTTAACTCTTTCAGTTTCTGATTCTGGAGATCCATTAAAACTCTATGCAAACTGAAAATGTGAAAGAAGTCCATTATTACCTCTTTTAATGAAACATTACTAACCCTCACAAAGTAAAACAACAAAAATTCATAATATATGGAATGTTCACTTTTGGAAACATCTATTGGACATTAAGAAGGATTTAAGAAAAGCACACAATCAATCACCCCTGAAGCTACTCTTTCTCAGGCCTGACATAATTCACAAATCCTGATTGCTAAAAAGTTTCACATACCCAACTAAATGTGGACATGCTAACTGAAGTGCAAACCATCTCTGATAATTGACTTAGTAACATATTTTGGCAGTTGTTTTTTTCACATTCTAATTATTTAATATGTGTGGTGGTTAAGATGGCCACAAATGCTGTCAATCTTCCCATCAAGAGATGAGGTCAATTTTCCATCCTTGCGAATATGACCAGGTCTTGTGATTTTTTTGACCATAGAATGTGGTGTATATGACACCACACCAATTCCAGGTGTAGGCTGTAAGAGAACTGGCAGCATTTCTATATTTTGTCTCTTGAAGCCTAGATTCCATGCTGTCAAGGAGGCCAGGCTGGAGTACTCAACCATCAGAGACCATATACGAGTCATTCTAGAGGATGAAATATTACCTTAGAAGTGAGTTTCCAGCTCAGTGCAACCCAAGTAGTGACCCCAGCTATAACATTGGTAATAGAGAAACAACCTGGCTGAGCACTGCTTATACTCTATCTTCAGATTCATGACACAATTATAAATTGTTTTAACCCTTTAAGTTCAGAAGTCATTTGATACACAGAAATAGATAGGTGAAAGGATACTTTTTCCTCCCAAAGATACATAAAATAGTGGGCTGGATAATGAATTTAAAGTCTAAAGGCCTCGTTTCACAGCCCAGCTGTAAGCCCTACAACTAAGTTCTTAAATGTTCTCAATTATATTTCCAGCATCAGGGATGTGGGATAATGCTGTGCCTATTAATTATACAACTTTATGTTGAAGATGAAAACATATTAAGATTAATTCATTAATTCAACCAAAACTTGAGATGCAAATGAGAAGTGTTAATGGTTATTTTAAGGGATATATTCTTTATGAACATCATGTTTAAAGCATTTTCAAAACTATATTCTGAACATTGATCTTATAAAGAGGATATAATTTGAATTAGGAATGTATTATTTTGAATACATAATTTTATTCTAAAATCTTTACTTGAAGTTTCCATTAATCATCACATTTAAACACTCAAAGTGTACACATAGCTGAGAGTGTTTAATATTAATAGACTTAGTTTTTTGGTTGTTTTAGGTTTACAAAAATTAATGAGATTATAATACAAAGAGTTACCATATAACTTGCACTCAGTCTCCCATTTTAACATCTTATGTCTTTGTAGAACATTTGTTACAATTAATGAACCAGTATTTGTGCATTATTATTAACTAGAGTCTATATTCTGATCTCCTTAAACTATTTTTTTTCTTCTCCGGTATCTCTCTCTTTTTTTTTTTTTTTTTTTTTTAGACGGAGTTTCGCTTTTGTTACCCAGGCTGGAGTGCAATGGCGCGATCTCGGCTCACCGCAACTTCCACCTCCTGGGTTCAGGCAATTCTCCTGCCTCAGCCTCCTGAGCAGCTGGGATTACAGGCACGCGCCACCATGCCCAGCTAATTTTTTGTATCTTTAGTAGAGACAGGGTTTCACCATTTTGACCAGGATGGTCTCGATCTCTTGACCTTGTGATCCACCCGCCTCGGCCTCCCAAAGTGCTGGGATTACAGGCTTGAGCCTCCGTGCCCGGCCTGTTCCAGTATCTCTTTAAAGATTCCAAGTACACTCAATTGTCCTGTCTCCTTAATCTGCTTTCAGCTATGGTAGATACTCAGAATTTTTCTGGCAGTTTTTGCAAGTGCTGCCCAGACCAGTATTTTGTAGTATGCCTCTCAGTGGGGATTTGTCTGATTTTATTTCCTTATAATTAAACTGGGTTTTTTGAAAGACTACAGAGGTAATGGGGCCATTTTAATCACAATTTATCAAGCATATATACTCTCAACATAACTTATCAATGTTAAATTTGACTACCTGACTAAAGTGATAGGTGTGACATTTATTCACTATAAAGTTAATCGCTTCCCCTCTTTTTATACTGTTTTTAAATAAGAAAGTCACTATACACAGCCCCCATGGAGTGGGGAGTTATATTCCCTCTCCGTGGGGGCAGAAAAATTACATAAGTTATTTGGGGTTTTTTTCTGCATTAAAGATTTGCCTCTATTCCTCCATTTATTTATTTATGAAATTATTTATTTATACAGCATGGACTCATGTATAATTATTTTATACTTTGGGCTAAATCCACTATTAGTTTTTTTTTAGGTTTTTGCTCAAACAGTTCCAGCTTTGGACATTGGGAGTTCCTGTACTTGGCTTCTTTGACATATCCCATCAATATGTTTTTTGTTTAGGTGAGGGAGTGGAGTTGAGCATGTTCTTACTTTCTGGCACTACAAAATGCTCCAGGCTCATTTGCTATATTCCCTTTCCTAGTTTTAGAATCAGCCATTTCTCCACAGTGTTCTGGTTTCTTTTTTTGTGGGGGAGGGTGGGGGTGGGAGTGGGTAGAATGTTACTGGAAACCATGATCCTGGAACCCAAGATCCTGTTGCTAGGTATGTTCACTGCTCCTGGGGTATTGTAGCTTACAGGACCTCTAGGTTGACAGAAACAAGTGGATGTGTGAGTGTGTACTTAACCATAAATACATCTATATATAATTATCTCATATATATTAAGCTAAATCAAAATTTATCCATTTCTCTCCACCTTGTGGCTTCTGCCCCTTGCTTACCTGTCAACTACCTCTTCAACAGAAGAATCTGACTTAAAATAAAAGTTTTTATAAGAAACTCAAAAATAATTCATTTAAACTAGAAGATGAGATGGCCCCTGTTCCATGTTTGGCTCTTCATGCTGCTGAATCCACAGACAGAGAAAGAGGTTACCACACAGAACCTAAGTACAAAGGATCCACTGAGTTCATCCTATATAATAGGGGAAAGTAGGACTACCTCAGAGAACTAGGGGCATTTGCCAGGAGTTTCTTAGTATCCCCATATACAATAATGTTAATCAATAAAAAAACAAGATGCTTGATCAATATGGAACCACTAATAATATGGTTCTTTGGAAGGATGAATTTCATGCTCCCACTAAGGTCAAAGTCTGCAACTAGAAGAAATTCTTCCAGAGTAATCAAGACAGCATTGTATTGGTATAAAACAGATGAAAGGAACATAATAGACAACCCAGGAATAAATCCAGGCATTTGCAGTCAACTGATTTTTGACAATGGTGTCAGGAACACACCCCTAGGAAAGGACACTCTTTTCAGCAAATGCTACCAAGAAAAGTAGAAACCTACACGCAGAAGAATAAAATTAGACCCTTATCTCTTGCCACATAGAAAAACCAAATTAAAATGGATTAAAAAATGTAAGACTCAAAACTATCAAGCTATTAGTAGAAAACAGAGGAAAAGCTTCATAACATTTGTTTGGGCAGTAATTTTTAAATATGACTTTAAAAGCACAAGCAAAAAAGCAAAACTAGACTGAAGACTTATTCCAAGCTAAAAATTTCTGCACAGCAAAAAAAAAAAAAGAAAAATTTTAATTAAAAATGAACAGAGTAAAGGGATAACCTACAGAATGGCAAAAATATTTGCAAATGTATCTGATGAGGGTTCATATCAAAAATATGTAAGAAATCCAAACAATTCCATAGCAAGAAAACAAATAACCTGATTAAAAATAGGAAAAAAGACCAAAATTGACATTTTTCATAAAAAGAACAAATGGATAACACATATATTAAAAAAATGCTCAACATCACTAATCAGCTGGGAAATGCACATCTAAACCACAATGAGATATCACCTGTTTTGCAGAGAAAAAGGGACACTCATACACTCTTGGTGGGAGTGTAAATTAGTTCAACTATTGTCAAAAACAGTGAGGTGATTCCTCAAAGGCCTAAAAATAGAACTACCATTCGACCCAGCAATCCTATTATTGGGGATATACACAAAGGAATATAAATTAGTCTACCAAAAAGACACAAACACACATATATTCATGGCAGCACTATTCATAATAGCAATGACACTTAATCAACCTAAATGCCCATCAGTGGTAAACTGGATAAAGAAAATGTGGTAAATACATACCATGGAATACTACACAGCCATAACAAAGATTAAGGTCATGTCCTTTGCAAGAACATAGATGGTGCTGGAGGCCATTATCCTTAGTAAAGTAATGTAGAAACAGAAAACCAAATATCGCATGGTCTCACTTTTAAGTGGAAGCTAAATGATGAGAACACATGGACACGTAGAGGAGAACAACAGACACAGGGCCTATTGGAGTTTGGAGTGTGGTAGGAGAGAAAGAATTAGGAAAAATAACTGATGGATATATCCGTTAGTTATTTTTATCACCAGGCTTATAACTGGTGATTAAATGATCTGTACAATAAACTCCCATGACACAAGTTTACCTATGTAACCAAACTGTATATGTACCCTTGCACTTAAAAGTTAAAATAAAATTAAACTAACCGTATCCTTGCCAAAAGAATAAAGAGACATCACCTCACTCTTGTTAGGATAGCCACTATCCAAAAGAAAAGAGATAAATCTTGATAATAATGTAGAAAAAAGGCACCTACTATGTACCTGCAAAAGTTAAAAATTACAAAATAAGAGAAAAAGAAAACCTTTACAAACTCCAAGTGGGAATGGAAATCAGTATAGTCATTATGGAAAACAGTATGAAGGTTCCTTGAAATATAAATAACAAAACTATTATATGATATAAAATCTTACTAAGAATTCTATGTACAAAGGAAATGAAATCAGTATGTCAAAGAAATACCTGCACTACCATTTTTATTGCAGCACTATTCATAGCCAAGATACGGAATCAACCTAAATATACACCAATGTATGAATGGATA